CTGTTCTCCTTCTTTAAGCTGAAGAATCAATTAATTTAAAGAAAAATGATCATATAAAATAAGCTTAGTTGAAGTGAGTGACCAAAAGCTGCTTTGGTAAGCAACGTTCTAAACTTTAAAAGGGAAAACTCTGAGAAAGTAAGGAAATCAGTGAAGTAACAGACAAGAATTTAAGGGCTCAGATAAAGAAGCCTGCAATCTCATTGGCTGAGATATGCTAAATTTGGATCTCAAAGGAAGGCTAATGAAGAGTAAGAAGATGGAGCAGAAAAAAGTAGGCCCAAGTCTCACTGAGCACATTAATAAAGTACCTTACAAGGACGTAAGAATAACTTAAGGTGGCAGTATTAGAAACTAAGGAGCATGGTGGTCAAGTGAGAACCCTCACAAAACAACTTGAGTAAGATCTTGCAAAGGACAGAAAAATAAGCTACAAAATCATCTTCCAGTTGTACATGAAAAATCACAGTACAATCAATAATGGATTTTTAGATTTACTGTGCTCAAATTTACTTAAAAATGCACTTAATGTAGATTTTTAAGACAATGGATTTGATAATCAACAGTGCCTCTCTCCAATCTAACAGTCTCAGGTTCCTTTGCAACCCAGGAATAACGTAACACGCAATTGTCTATCAACATATAAACACAGAACAGGTATAAAATTAAAGAAGGTGATAATTTCCATGTTGAAGCTGAACTGCTAGGTATAGGATTGCATTCAGAATTCCCTTCTTAGACAATGTCACTAGGGAAGGATATACAGAATCAGAACCCGCAGCCAAAGAGCTCTTTAAGCAATGAAACAGCAAGGCTCTATTTATTGAGCAAAGTACTGTTTCCCGAGATGCCAGGAGGTTGGAATGCATAAGCAAGGTGGTATCTTCAAAACTTTTGCTTCAATTTCCTTTTTTTATGCCTTTAACGTCTTCTATCTAAATATTAAGTTAACTACAGCTGTCTGATTTTACGAGATCAGATAGGATCAGAGCACATGATAGAATAGCTAGGGGCTAATGATAACTTTTGTAGTCTTCATTGAAACTCAATTAAGTGTGGTAATAGGAAAGAAATCACCCAAATCTCCTCTGTCACTAGAGGAAACATATCCACAGAATACTCAAGATCATACGAAATTTGCTAAGAACAGTAATTGCGATTAGACAGAAAGAATTAACACACAGCACAAAGTGTTCTATCAAGTGATTGCTCAGATATTAACTGTACTCAGACTACTGAGCTTTACTGAGGGTCAGGGGAAATGTGGGTCTATCATGTCACAGGATTCCTCCAACTGAAATTTCCCCCTAGCAACAATTCTTACGTTCTAGTATCACCAATGGAAGTAAAATACTTTTTTTTATTTAGGTCACTGAATTTTCAAGCAGCAAGGGGGCCCATAAAACAATTAATACTGTCCCATTACGTACTCATTTCAACGTGTTCTTCCATGCATGGAAATCCTGAATAGTGAGGAGAGAGTGCTGCAGTAATGAGCAATACTGAGCAGGATTCACTGTTCTACAATACTATATGGTCACTGACAGGACTACAAAAACAAGTATGAAATGATGTCCTTTGCCTACAGAGGTGATAAAAAGCATATAACATATTTCTACTGTTCCATTATCTTCTGCTACATATTTCCTTTTTGACATGAGGCCAGCATCCACAGATATGCACAAGGACTTACCCTCCGTCTGCCATCAAGAATAAGAGTGTTTCCCTTTTGCTCCCCCCACTAGGTCATCCACAGCAGAAAGTGCTCTAATAGTACTGTCTAGCCTGCACCTAGATTACCATCCATACCCACTCTGTTACCTCTAAAAACATAGAAACAGTTGCGCGTGGGAGGGAACTATTGAATCAGATTACACAAGCAATATAATTATGATGCAAAATAAATCTTATAACAAGTGTATGAACTACTTTGAACTTCAGCCTCAGCATTTGGAAACTGAACAGGCTTGGTTTTCAATAAATTTTAAAATTCAGTAGAGCGTCAGAACTCTCTAAAAGCATCCCATTTCAACTCTACAAATTATTCTTAGCTGCACAACGTATTCCAATTCCATTTCCCTTTGCTATTTTTTAGGGATTGTTCTCCTGATTAAACCCAAGATTTATCCTTATAGGCCTTTCCAGGGAAGCAGAAGTTGACTTGGAAGCGATTTTCTTTTGCCTCAGTTCTTGCACTTTTCAACAGTGCAAGTGGTAAGTTTTCATAGAATCATAGAATCATTAA